TTCCCTTGAAATTTTGGTCGAACTTTGTCCTTGTTGAAGGTGTTTCAATATTGAGAGAGCACCGAAATGTTTCGACCTAGATGATTGACAACTTTAGAGGTAGGTATGCTTATGCCCTTTAGAGCATATACAATAGAGAATCATATTAAAACTCATTTTGATATTATATCACTGTAATTAATATTATTTTATATAAATTTATATTTTAAATATTTAACAATCAAATATAATACCAAATGAAAATTGTGCATGTGGACTCGATACAACACTTGCATCAAACTTAAAATCAATTGGCAATAGGTGGAGTGACTTTTCTTGTATTTAACTTACAAGCTTCTTACTTTAATACTCAATGTGAGATTTTCCCATTTCAACATGCCCCCTCACGTGCAAACCCACTATGAATGTCGAGTTTTGTCATGTGGGTTAACATGCCCCCTTAAATGCACACCCGGCACACTTCAAGCCTTAAATGCAGGCTCGATACTCTTCGGGTCCTTAAATGCAAGCCCGATACTCTTTGGATCTTGTTAAGTGGGCTACCATGTTCAAAACTGTGTATGTGGACTCAACACAAGACTTGCATGCAACATAAAACCAATTGACAATAGGTGGAGTGACTTTATTTGTATTTAACCCACAAGCTTTTTATTTTAATATTCGATGTGAGATTTTCCCACTTCAACAAAAACATATATATATATATATATTTGAACAAAAAGGAATTTGGGGATAGGAGATTTAGTTTTTAAATAGTTGGTGGGAGGGGAATTCTTAACCAAGTGCATCCAACCATTTAAGGTTTTGGGAAGAATAATTAGATCCAAAATTCCGGTTCTTTTCAAAACATATATTTAAACAAAACTTCTTTAAAAGTTGTATAAATATTATTTTATTTAATTTGTTTAAAAATGTTTTGAATTGAAAAAAAAAAATGCTAGCCATTGGATTGAAATGAGCCAATGGCAAAGAATTGAAAAGTTGTACCGCCTGACTTAATGTCAGGTGGTTAAAAATCTCATAGCTTTAAAAAGCGAAAAACAAAAACGAGAGTTGACAAAAAACAAAAGAAAGAGCTATCTCTGCGCAGAGGGACAACTTTTTCTTAGAATATAGCTCTAATAAGGTTTTAATTATTTAAAGCTCTAATTCTACTCTATTTTTAATGAAAACCCCTATTGTACATGCTTTTTTGCTAGATGAGTAAAGCACAAAGGTGTTGCGTGCAGAAGTTAAATCATAGGGGACTAAGTGAACACACCTTAAATAAGAATGAAATGGAAATGCAATTTTGCCTTAACTTTATCTGGAATTTAATTATTTGAGGCTTAGTCAAACTCAGCCGACAGAGTCTGGTGAACCTTCAAACTCTGGTTCCGTGGGGACAATAACGCAAATAACAAATTCAAATTCGGGGACGCCATTTTCAAAATTCAAAAAAAAAAAAAAAAAAATATCGGGGACGCTATTTTGTTTTTTTCCTAGAGTTTTTGGTCAAATCTTCAAAACAAGTAGCCATCAAACATTAAATCAAAGTTATGCCTTTATTATTATAATAAATACATATACTAGCTCTTTTGACCTTTTTTTTTTTAATTAAAAATTTAGAAACAGTTTATATATTAATTTATTTTATCTTTAAAAATAAATAAAAAATAAATATAAATTTTTTTGATAAAATAAATAGATAATAATAAATTTAAATTAAAAAATTATTTACATACCTTAAAAAATAAAAAATAATTTTTTACCATTTGAAAGTTTGACAATTAAATAAAAAAAAGATTCATTATATAATATGTTGTACAGATACCTTTTCACACAATATTTATCTAAAATATAATTTATTAATTTTAATTAATATTTTATATATTTTTATTAATTTTAATAAATATTTTATATATTTTTAACATTATAAAAAAAATTAAAAACATCTCTGTATAACACAGCACTGAACCGAACCTAAAAAAGTAGTAGTATACTTTTATGGGTTATAATATTCATTGGAGAAAATCCCAAATAAGCCGGAAACTTCTTTATTGCTAGCAATTAAACCCTTAGGGCTACTTTGGTTGAGAGCTAGGAATAATGGAGCAATGCTTATTATTATTATTTATTTTGCCATTACATTTATTACTTGATCAAACTATAAATAAAGGTAAAATAGTGAAATTTCTTTGTGACATTAAAACTATTCGTTTGTTAATAATTATAATTTCTTTTAAATTAAAAAATTGTTGAGGTATATCTTGTAAATATCCTTTTGGATTTTTGGTTTCATGAATGAAACTTGCCAATTCTCAGAAGAAGAAGGAAAAAAAAAAAACAAAAGAAAGAGTTAAGATCTACTTGCGTATCATTTTAATTACGTGAAATTTAGATAAATTATTTTTTTATCTTCGATTGTTGAAATTTACTCAGTTTGTATCATAGTTATTAATAATATTATTATTATTTAAAAAATATGATAAATTCAATCACTAAAAATGAAGATATGAATGGTCAAGATTTTGTGTAAATATGATGTGTAAGATTTATGTATAAATCAATTACTACTTGTTAAGAAATATATATTTCTCATGAGTTTATATCAACTTATATAAAGTGCTTACATCGTTTGTATAAAATTTCAACCATTCATCTCTTTACTATGAATGATTAAGGGTGCATTTTGGATTGTTATGAAGTGATGTGACTATAATTATGACTGTGGTTGTGTTGAACTGTATTATATTGTAATTGTGACTAAAAGTTATTTTAGTGTTTGATTATTTATTTCTTAAAAATATTATAGATGAAATATAATAGATTTTATTAATTATTAATTAAAATTTAAAAAATATTGTAAGATATATAATTATTAAAATATATAATATTTCTTACTTCTTAATAATTTATGTTTTTTAGATTTGTTATAATTATTAAAATATTATAAATTATGATGTAATTGAATTATACGAGGTTGGGTTCTCATGAGTAATTTTGTAATTATATTAAATATTAGATATTTTCCGTAAAAGATATAGTTAAAAAGTTATAAAATAAAACTTTTAACCTTACATATAAAAAAACTATAACTTTCTACAGCTTTTAAAAAAAATAATCTGAAAAAAATTATCAAAAACACATATACCTAAAAGTATTATATAACTATTAGATAAAACTTCCAATTACAATCCCAAACGCACCCTAAGATTTATACACTTTATTTTTTTTGAAAAAAGATAATTGTTGTTTCATCTAAAAATTGTGATAAATATGAATCAAACATAGTAGATAACAAATAATTATTATGATTTTATGTAAAACTTGGGTGTAAGAATTGTATATAAGAGGATCATATTTCAGTCCTCATAATTCACACCCTCTTAAAAAGTATATTTTCCTTAATTATCTTTTAATTTGATAGAAGTTGAACTATTAATGAATATGAGTAGATTCATTTATATAAAAATTTTACAAATTATGTTTACACTAAATCTGAATTATTGAAATTAAAAAGATAAATGATTAAGATTTATCGTACTATTTTTAATGAAAAAAAATAATTATCTTTAATAAATATAAATAAATTTTAATTATTAAAAATAAAGAGTTAAATAGTTAAGATTTTATATAAATGTAATATATAAAACTTATTTATAAATAAATCAATATTCAAGGAATATTTATTTCTAGTTTTTAAATATCCTTCTCTATTTTACCTAAAAATAACTATTACTCCCAACCTAACATAATCTCGAAGTTTGATTGATGGAAGGACGTGGAAGGAAGGGGCGGTCAAAATAATCCCCTTACAATTTGACATCCCTCAAACCAAACAAGCTTTTAATTTGTTTGAATAGAAAATTAAAAATATGCATAAAAAATAGAAATATAAAACAGTAAAGGAAATGAAATAAAAGGGAGCTTCCTTAGCTTCATGTATTGGGTTCCATTCTCCTCAGCTCACTTCCGTAACTTCCTTTGAAAAAGCCTAGTGATGCCCTTAATAATCATGTGCCTTTTGCCATCCATGTGTTTATTTCTACAGGTTGATGAGTTGGAGAGCTTACTTGTTCCCCAAAATTACCATAAGGGCTTCAATCACCATTATTTAGCTAAAAAGCTTAATCTTAGAGTTTTTTTTATTTTATGTTGAAAAGTATTATGATTTTCTGTGACTTTATATTACAGTACCTTAAAAAAATTACCAAACACCTGAATATCAAAAAGCATTGTGTGATTGTGTGAAAAAACTTTAGAACATAATTTCAAATGCACCCTTAAAATAAAGGTTTAATAACCATTATTGAAGCAGTTTGAGGGCTTATTATTTTTTTGGTTAAATGTCATTTTTTAGTCATAAATTTTTAATTTTGAACCTTTTTTTTGTCTTTAAACTATTTTTAACACTTTTTTATCAATAAATTATGAAAAATATATTTTTTAGTTTTTTCATTAGTTTAGTATATAAATCTATTTATATATACACATTTTGTAACTTCTAAACTTATAATATAACATTCAGTGTTGTAAAAAGTAAGTCTAGGCATCACCTAGGCACCACTTAGGCTTTAGGTGGTGTCATTTCACCTGCATCAACTTTTAAATAGAAATTTAATATGGCTTGCACTGTTTAAATTAATTAAATATGTCCAAGCACTATTAGG